GTAGAGAGAGGGCAGTGCGCAGAGTAAGGCTCAGTGCTCACCAGACAGGGCAGTGCAGGGAGGGCTCGGGCGGCTCGGGCGGCTCGGGCGGCTCGACTGCTGGGCGGTTCGGGCGACTCGGCGGCTCGGGCGGCTCGGGCGGCACTGCAGCTGGGGCGGCTCGGCTGCTGGGGCGGCTCGGCTGCTGGGGCGGCTCGGCTGTTGGGGCGGCTAGGCGGCTGGGGCGGCTCGGCTGCTGGGGCGGCTCTGCTGCTGGGGCGGCTCGGCCGGGAGATGCAGGGGCGGGGCCGTCAGGTGCAGCGGCGGGCCGGCAGGTGCAGCGGCGGGTCGACCGGTGCAGCGGCGGGCCGGCAGGTGCAGCGGCGGGGCCGTAGGGTGCAGCGGCGGGCCGGCAGGTGCAGCAGCGGGGCCGTCAGGTGAGGCGGCGGGCCGTAGGGTGCAGCGGCGGGCCGTAGGGTGCAGTGGCGGGCCGGCAGGTGCAGCGGCGGGGCCGTCAGGTGAAGCGGCGGGGCCGTAGGGTGCAGCGGCGGGCCGGGAGGTGCAGCGGCGGGGCCGTAGGGTGCAGCGGCGGGCCGGTAGGTGCAGCGGCGGGGCCGTCAGGTGAAGCGGCGGGCCGCTGGGTGCAGTGGCGGGCCGTAGGGTGCAGCGGCGGGCCGGCAGGTGCAGCGGCTGGGCCGTCAGGTGAAGCGGCGGGCCGCTGGGTGCAGCGGCGGGCCGTAGGGTGCAGCGGCGGGCCGGCAGGTGCAGCGGCGGGGCCGTCAGGTGAGGCGGCGGGCCGTAGGGTGCAGCGGCGGGCCGTAGGGTGCAGTGGCGGGCCGGCAGGTGCAGTGGCGGGGCCGTCAGGTGCAGCGGCGGGCCGGCAGGGCCGCGTCAGAGCCGGCGGCGGGGCCGCGTCAGTGGAGGCGGGGGGGCCGCGTCAAGGGAGGCGGCGGGGCCGCGTCAAGCAGGCGGCGGGGCCGCGACCAGGAGGGGTGGCGGGGCCGCGTCTGAGGGACAGCGGGGCCGCGAGGGAAATGGCGACCCGAGGGGTCGCTAAAAAAATGCGCGCCTCGAGGCGCGCTTCGGTGGGCCCTAAAAAAAAACGGTCCTTAGGAAGGACCCGCTCTATACCATGTGAAACAAGTGAACAGGAATGAAATGACTAAGGAAAGATTGGGTACAAATACAACCCTAGAAACCCTGTACCCCATATGTGCTACCCCACTATAGCCTACAGCAAATATGTCATATAAATCTGACACTGTTTGTAACTGCTCCATGGCTTGTTGATGTATCCCATTTGTAGGGTGTATTGTTTTTCAGTAGATCGGTCAGTGGCGCAATATCTTGGCGTACTACGGCACAAACCTGTTGTAGTAATTGGCAAAGCCTAGGAACTGCTGCAACTCCTTCACGTTCTCCAGTACTTTCCACTTCTTGACGGCTTCAATCTTCCGTGGGTCCACGTGTACTCCCTTGACACTCACCATGTGCCCAAGAAATTGCACCTTCTTCAGGGCGAAGTTGCTCTTCGACAGCTGCAAGTAGAACTTGTTTTTCCGCAGGATCTCGAACACCTTCCGTAGATGCTCCACGTGCTCCTTCATGTTCTTGGAGTAAATGAGAATGTTGTCCTGATACACCACCACGCATTGTCCAACATGGGCCGTAGGATGTGATTCATCTCCGCCTGGAACGTTGCTGGTGCGTTGCAGAGCCCAAACGGCATCACCAAGTATTCGTAGGAGCCGTATCTGGTACGGAACGGAGTCTTGTGGACCGAGTTGTCTGCCATCTTGATCTGCCAGTAACCCGACCGTCCAGCTTTGAAAATACTGTTGCACCACGTAGTTGATCCAGTAGGTCGTCTATGTGCCGTATGGGATATTTGTTTTTGACTGTATGTTTGTTCAGTGTGCAATAGTCGATGCACATCCGTAAACTGCCGTCTGGTTTTGGAGTGAAGAGAACTGGTGCACCGTAGGGAGACGTGGATGGGCGGATCAGTTGTCTGTCCAGTAAATACTCTATCTGCTTCTTCATGTCTGTCAGCTCGGTTGGACTCAGTCGGTATGGTGCTCGTGAGACGGGTTTCGCACCTGGTTCCTCCACGATCTCGTGCTCGTGGGTGCGTGTTGGAGGTACGCCTGCAGGTAGGTCGTCGGGCATTATGTCCTTGTACTGCTCCAAGACCTCCTTCACTGCTGCAGGTAGCTCTGTGTTCGGCTTCTCCTCCTCTTCTGCTGCCATAACCAGCGCTAGGTAACATGTGATACTCTCATTTACCGTCTGTTCAAACCGTGCCAGTGTCGTTTTAGGAACGCTCCCTGTATCCGTCCAGCTTCGTAGCTCCACTCGTTTCCCGTTTTTGTAGATGCATGCCTTCCTGCCGACCCAATCAATATCGGGGTTGAATCGCTTCAAGAAATCTCGCCCCATGATGAAGTCTAAACCCTTGATGTTCTTGATCGGCAACGTCGGCTTCCACCTCATCGCCCCTATGTGCAGCTGCAGTGATGCTTCGCCATGGATGGGAAGTTTCGTACTGTCCACCATCATTGCCGTGAACTTGGTCTCTTCTGAAGACTCTCCAATTTTCTCCAATGTCCTGCGGTCGTACACCGAGTGAGACGCACCGTTGTCCACTAGTGCCTGGAGGCGTCGCCCGTTGCAGATCACCTCGAGTAGTAGTGGTTGTTGCTGCTCCAAATAACCGTAGATGGTCTCGCTTATAGGATCATAGGGTACGTCGAATATATCTCCCCTAGGTCATGCGCTCGAAGCTGCTGACTCGATATCAATTTTTGACCGAGGAGGGTTAGAATGATTTATCCAAGGCCGATTCAGCTTCGTCTTGACCTAGAACCTGTTAGAGACTAAGGACGGAGTCTATGAAGATTAGGTGCCCAAATTTCTCAAAATCGTTGGTCTCAATTTCTGGACAGAAACGTCGACTTCACAAGAAACGTTGTCGACGAAAGGTGCACTGTTAGAATCCCACGAAATTCGAATATGTTGTAGCGCTAGACCGTGGCTACATTTCCCAATTTTAATCGTATCAAAATATGAAGGATATCTCGAGTTATGCGTTTCGGCGCACTAGAGGGTATGCTGCCATAGAAATTTAACTCAATCACAATTAACTCACAAGTCCCACAAAAGAACATTAGAGTAGCACTAAACCTGGTAGGAGGGGAAGAGGAGGACGAGAGGGAAGGTCCCAAGAGAGAGTCCCTTCCCTTGCCACACAATTCCCTTCCCCATAGGCAACAAACTTTGACCTTTGTCACTTTCCAACCCATGCCATCCACCTCACCACAACTTAGCCACACTTACCAACCTGGTTTGGTTTCACCCAACCTCTTGGCAGCATCTACAGTGATGGGTTCGAATTTCCCAACCCCCACAAGTCTGTACCCCATATTGAGTCAATGCCACAACTTCCCAAAGTAGCTGCAACCAAAATATATAAGCATACGAACTCCAATGTTCGTAACTTTCTTGGTTGTGCTCCGATCGCGACGATTCTTGGTTTGTCGTAAAGCTCTTGAGTAGAGGAATCACTTCAGATATCTGCTCAAGCCAAATAACATACATACACACACACACACACACACACACACACACACACACACACACACACACACACACACACACACACACACACACACACACACACACACACACACACACACACACACACACACACACACACACACACACACACACACACACACACACACACACACACACACACACACACACACACACACACACACACACACACACACACACACACACACACACACACACACACACACACACACACACACACACACACACACACACACACACACACACACACACACACACACACACACACACACACACACACACACACAGAAAATCCAAACCACACAAGACACAAATTTCTTGCACACGCTCACACCACGCATGCAACGCACAAACACATGATGGGAGGCAGACAGACGTGAATGCATATGGTTGCATCACACAACAGAACCTTCCCCTATGCCTTTGAAATTGTGTAGGCTTCACCTGTGGGCAATGGGGAGCCTTAAAACAGTGTTGCAGGGAGAGAATATTAACTCCTCGGAACGCACGACCCTTTTCAACGCTACGGAGTGGTTTGCCCAACTTCTCAGGTACCTGAATAATGTCTAAAGGCTTTTTCTTAGCCACGCGGCCCCGTTCTGCCGCCCTCGCGGCCCCGTCGCGTCGCGCCGCCCTTGCGGCCCTTTCGCGCCGCCCTCGCGGCCTCTTCGAGCCGCCCTAGCGACCCCTCCAATCCGCCCTCGCGGCCCCGTCGCCTACCCTTGCGGCCCCGGCGCCTACCCTCGCGGCCCCGTCGCCTACCCTGCGGCCCCGTCGCCTACTCTGCTGGCTCTGGCGCCTACCCTGCAGTCCCGGCGCCTATCCTGCGGCCCCGTCGCCTACCCCTGTGGCCCCGGCACCGCCCTTCCCGGCCCAGGCACCGCCCTTCCCGGCCCTGGCGCCGCCCTTCCCAGCCCCGGCGCCGCCTCTGCTGGCCCCGTCGCCTACCCCTACGGCCCCGGCACCGCCCTTCCTGGCCCCGGCGCCGCCCTTCCCGGCCCCGGCGCCGCCTCTGCTGGCCCCGTCGCCTACCTTGCGGCCCCGGCGCTACCCTTCCCGGCACCGTCGCTTCCTCTACCGGCCCCGCCGCCGTCCCCACGCGGCCCCGCCGTCACCACCGAGCCACCGGCGCCGCCGACCATTTGCCGAGCCGCCCAAGCCACCTGAGCCGCCCCAGCCGCCGCGCCACCTGAGCCGCCCGAGCCGCCGGGTCGCTGAGCTGCCGAGCCGCTGTACCACCGAGCCGCCGAGCCGCGAGCGCCGCCGAGTCGCCGAGCCGCAGTTGGTGCCGAGCCGCCGAGCCGCCGAACCGCCGAGCCGCCCGAGCCGCCCTATCCGGTAAGAGCAGCGCCTCTGTCACTGCACTGCCCTTACCCTACTATTCGCGCTCCTAGTCTACTGCTGTCATGGCTACCCCTAGTGTCCTCGCTTTTGACGCTGAGGGTCGGGCCATTGACTTTGACGTCTGGGTAGCTGACCTGCACCTTTTCCTACAGTGCGATAGGGCAGACGGTCTCTCCCTCTTTGATCTCACTTCTAGTGCCTCTCCTGCCCCTCCTACTGATGCTGACGCCACTGTTCACTCACAGTGGGCCACACGCAATGCTGCTGCACGTCTTGTTGTGCATCGCCACCTGCCTACCTCGGAGCGTGCGCACGTTAGTCAGTACAAGAGTGCTCAGACCTTGTACGACGCTGTAGTTGCACGCTACTCCTCCCTTGCCATTGCTGCACTGAGCCGCCTCATGCTACTGTACCTCTTCCCTGACCTTGCTGCCTTTCCCACAGATGCTGACCTCATTACGCACCTTCGCACTAATGACACTCGCTACCGCGCTGCGCTTCCTGCTGAGTTCTGCGCCAAGAACCTCCCCCCCCATGTACATCACCCTCTACTACATAGTCACCCGGCTCCCTGACTCCCTTCGCGTAGTCAGGGACCACTTCCTCTCAGTTTGCCCCACCACTCTCACCGTTGACCTCCTCGAGAAGGCCCTCCTAGCAGCAGAGAAGAGCATAGTAGCTGTAGGAGCCTCTCGTGGTGACCCTCGCACCCCCATCTTTGAGGGGTGCTCCCCCTCCCCCCTTTTGCCCTCTGTTGCCTCTGCTGCTGCGGCCGACCTCGTTGGTCTTGAGTCAGTCGGTGCGGCGTCTACCCCTAGCGGGAGACGCCGCCCTGGCAAGGGCAAGGGGGGCAGGGGCGCTGGAGGAGCTAGCGGGGGCGGTGGAGGCGGAGGTGGAGGCGGCGGAGGGGGTGGGAGTGGCGGTGGGGGTGGTGGCGGGGGTGGAGGTGTCGGTGGCAGCAGTGGAGGCGGAGGCGGCGGCGGTGGTGGCGGTGGGAGCGGAGGTGGCGGAGGTGGCGGCGGTGGAGGAGGCGGTGGCTGTGAGAGTACGACGGCTTATGCCAGCTATGCTTGCTTGCCTCTACTTTATCATGCTATTTCTAGCATAGGATAATCATATGCATGCATGAATTGCTTGATTTCCTAGGCTAGGTGCTTTCCTATATTTTATTATAGTTATAGCACCGAGCTAGGTTGCGTGCACCGAATTCTGGCTTTTTGGTTGCCACCGAATTGCCTTCTACCGAATTTGGTAAGGATGTGTTCGGGACGCTTCGCGACCCGCGGAACCTTCGCGTAACACCTGGTTACGGGGCCTTGTGTCGAGCCTATATATAGCCTCTTGTTGTACCCAGGTGGACATTTGATTTAATTCAATTCAATTTGAATCATCTTTTCTGAACTCGATCCTAGATCCTCACACTTGGTAATCAGAGCGGGTTTACACGCGAGGTCTTCAACCGCTTAGTTCCGGCCTTTAAAAACCGCGGGGGCGACGACGAAAGCGCCGATACGGGTATGTAAAACCAGTTCCGCGCAATTTTTCTAAGTCCCTCTCGATTCGGTTTTCGAACACCCCTCAAGTTTACTGGTGGAAAGGTTGGAGTTTCGACCGTTCGATCGATTTTCATCTCAACGGCCCAGAGAATTTCGCCCAAAAAAGTTGGAATTTGGAGCGTCGGATCGATTTTCTCCTCAACGGCCAAGATCGGACGCGAATTACGCCCAAGGGAGATTTACGCAACCTACAAAATTCGCGCTTGTCGATTCTACAGTCAACTTGACTCGCAGTAAGTCGACCAGCACCTAGAATTCGATTATTTTCGTCGCGCATCTTCCTGTAAATCACCAAATGGAGGGCCAAGGCGACAACTACGCGACTACGAGCGACATCGCGAGCCTCCGCACCGACATGGAGCAGACGCAGGCGACGCTTCGTCGACTCGAGGCTTTTCTGACAAGCCAACCAAGGTTCGCCACCGCAGCAGCAGCGACCACAGCGACTACAGCACCGACAACTCTAGCAGCAGTGGCGACACCGACATTTCACGGACCAATGGCACCACTATCGCCGAACCTTGAAGCAGCACGACCGAGGCTCCCGGAGGCGTTCGATCCAAGCGCGAAGGGATCCGACGTCCGGCGATTCGTGGCCACCCTCGAAATTTATTTCGAGGTCATTGGCTGTTCGACCCCGCAACACGACGCAGCAAGGATTCGGCTCGCAGCGACACTGTTACGTGGACCGGCTCTCGAATGGATTTACTACACCGACGTAGCCCGCGGGGAGAAAACGTGGCAGCAGTTTCGGGCAGATTTAATCGAGCGTTTCGAACCAATTAATACAACCTACATGGCGCGGCAGCAGATACACCGACACAAGCAATACAGTAGTGTAACACAGTACACGCAGCAGATGGAGTTACTGTTCAACCGCATCACCGACCTGACCGAAGGCGAAAAAATCCAGGCGTACACCGAAGGATTAAAAATGGAGATTCGGCGGCAGGTGATTGCGGCAAATTACAACAGCTACAGAGACATCGTGCGTGCTGCCGAGCGATACGACGCGCTGACTCGAAGTCAACCCGAAACACGATGCTTCACGCCGAACCGTACATTCGGCACGGAGCGATCGGCACCCCCCACGTTCACCGAACCGATGGATATCGACAAATACGACGCGAAGCAGCAGCCGACAAAATGCGAATTTTGCGGCGCAGCAGGACATCAGTTTTTGTCGTGCTACAAAATGAAGAAAGCACGTGCGGCACTCCGAGACGGAAACAGTAGAGCACCCCCGAAGTCAAAAAACGGGAATCGCCAGTAGCCGCGGATCGACCTGGCGATCGCGTAAAGATCCGAAAAGCAGGTAAAGGCGACGACGTGGCGACTTCGGAGCGGGTGAAAAAAGGAGAAAAAGATGGCGCGAATTAAAAACTTCACGACCGGCCGGCATCAGGGGAAATCGCGGAGGCGAATGGAGGCTCCGCGAAAAAAGACTCTGCACCGACCGGGAAACTCCAGCCGAACACCTATGAAAGTAAGAATTCGTTAAAAGTATCCTATAAAGATGCTCTAACGAAGAATATTGCCTCTCGTGGTTTACAAGCCTTCAAAAAATTCAGGGGAGGTCTAGAGGCCAAGAAAAAGCCTTTAGAAATTATTCAGGTACCTGAGAAGTTGGGCAAAATACTACGGAGCGTAGAGAAGGGTCGTGCGTTCCGTGGAGTTAATATTCTCTCCCCGCAGCACAGTGTTAAGGCTCCTCGTCGCCCACAGGTGAAGCCTACACAGCTGCCAAGGCTTAGAGGAGACATCTAGGCTCAGGAAAAATGATACAAGCCTCGGAAAAATCCTCCTACCCCCCAGGTGAAGTTGGAAAGCGCTGAGTCAGGTATAGGAAAAAGGGAAGGTATTAAGTTTGATGTACCCTATGATCCTGTTAACGAGACCCTCTTTGGCTACTCAGCACAGCAGAAACCACTACTCCTCGAGGTGTTATGCAATGGGCGACGCCTCCAGGCACTGGTGGACAGCGGTGCATCTCATTCGGTGTGTGACCGCGGAGCATTGGAGAAAATTGGAGAGAAGGCGGAAGAGATCCAGTTTTCAGCAACCATGGCGGACGGTACGAAGCTTCCTATCCACGGCGAAGCATCATTGCAACTGCATATAGGTGCGTTGAGGTGGAAGCCGAAGCTACCAGTCACCAACATCAAAGGATTATATTTTATCTTGGGGCGAGATTTCTTGAAGCAGCTCAACCCCGAGATCGATTGGGTCAACAGCAAGGTGTGCATCTACAACAACGGGAAACGAGTGGAGCTGCGAAGCTGGACGGATACAGGGGACGTACCTGAAACAACACTGGCACGGTTCGAACAGACGGTGAACAAGAGTAACACGGGTTACCTAGCACTGGTTATGGCAGCAGCAGAGGAGGAGAAGCCGAGTTCCGAGCTACCTGCAGCAGTGAAAGAGGTCTTGGAGCAGTACAAGGATATAATGCCCGACAACCTACCTGCGGGCGTACCTCCAGCACGCACCCACGAGCACGAGATCGTGGAGGAACCAGGTGCGAAACCCGTCTCACGTGCACCATACCGACTGAGTCCGACTGAACTGACAGACATGAAAAAACAGATAGAGTATCTACTGGACAGACAACTGATCCGCCCATCCACCTCTCCCTACGGCGCACTAGTTCTCTTCACTCCAGAACCAGACGGCAGTCTACGGATGTGCATCGACTACCGCGCACTAAAGAAACAGACAGTAAAAAACAAATATCCCATACCGCGCATAAACGACCTACTCGATCAACTGCGTGGAGCAACAGTATTTTCGAAGCTGGACCTACGATCGGGCTACTGGCAGATCAAGATGGCAGACAACTCCGTCCACAAGACAGCGTTCCGTACCAGATACGGCTCCTACGAATACTTGGTGATGCCGTTCGAACTCTCCAACGCACCAGCAACGTTTCAGGCGGAGATGAATCACATCTTACGACCCCTGCTGGACGATTGCGTGGTGGTGTACCTGGACGACATTCTCATCTACTCCAAGAACATGAAGGAGCACGTGGAGCATCTGCGGAAGTTGTTCGAGATCCTGCGGAAAAACAAGTTCTACGTGAAGCTGTCAAAGAGCGACTTCGCCCTGAAGAAGGTGCAGTTTCTCGGGCACATGGTGAGTGCCGAGGGCGTACACGTGGACCCACGGAAGATCGAAGCCGTCAAGAAGTGGAAAGTACCAGAGAACGTGAAGGAGTTACAGCAGTTCCTAGGCTTCGCCAACTACTACAACAGGTTCGTGCCGCAGTACGCTAAGATAGCAGCGCCACTAACCGACCTACTGAAAAAGGATACGCCCTACAAATGGGATACCCTTCATCAGCAAGCCATGGAGCAGCTAGAGACAGCACTGACTACAGCGCCAGTACTCATCTTGCCGGATCCAGACAAGGACTACGTGGTGGAAGCAGACGCTAGTGACCAAGCAGTCGGAGCAGTACTAATGCAGGATCACGGACGCGGTTTGCAGCCCATCGCCTACCTCAATAAGAAGCTACACTGTGAGGATCTGGGATCGAGCTCAGAAAAGATGATTCAAATTGAATTGAATGATCACCTGGGTACAACACGAGGCTATATATAGGCTCGACACAAGGCCCCGTAACCAGGTGTTACGCGAAGGTTCCGCGGGTCGCGAAGCGTCCCGAACAGATCCTTACCGAATTCGGTAGAAGGCAATTCGGTGGCAACCGAAAAGCCAGAATTCGGTGCACGCAACCTAGCTCGGTGCTATAACTATAATAAAATATAGGAAAGCACCTAGCCTAGGAAATCAAGCAATTCATGCATGCATATGATTATCCTATGCTAGAAATAGCATGATAAAGTAGAGGCAAGCAAGCATAGCTGGCATAAGCCGTCGTACTCTCACACGTCCCCCCCTCAAAGCTGGGTGGCGTGAGATACACCCTGCTTGACAAGATAGTCCTTGAGAGCACGGCGTGCGTTGCCCATATCAGTCCTGCAACCCAACTGTCCTCAGTGGGGTCGTATCCCTTCCAGCGTATCAGGAACTCGAGAGTCTTGCCACCGCGGCAACAATGAGAGAGAACGTGCTCGATCTCGTATTCGGGTTCATCCTGCACAAGAACAGGTGGAGGTGGCGGTAGCTGCCGTCCCTTGAACTGTTGGTTGGGGTCCTTGTAGGGTTTCAGTAGCTGCACATGGAAAGCGTTGTGAAGCTTCCATGTATCTGGTAAGTGCAAGCGGAATGTAACTGGTGTCTCCTGTGCCTCAACGAGAAAAGGACCACAGAAGCGAGGCCGGAGTTTGGATGGGAGGTGAGACAGGTTCAAGTTGCGCGTGTCAAGAAGCACCTGATCTCCGACTGCTTCTGAGTGATCACGTCGCTGACGATCGGCATACTGCTTCTGGAAGTTTTGCATCGTTGTGAGACGTCGCTGAGTCTTCTCCCATAGCTGCTGCATGGTGGTGACGAAGTCATGTGCGGCTTGGACGTATGCCGGTGTGGTTGGCTGCTGTGGTGTGAGTGGTTCCCGTCCGTAACACAGGACAAACGGAGTTTTCCC